CGTGTCAACAGATTTCATCAAGAATAGGGTATTGTTTCAGTGAGGTGCAACCCGGTACAGAGTCTGTACTGAGGCAAAATGCAGAAAACAAATGCCTATACAAAAATCACAACCATGAGGTCATCATCAGTTCGCTGTCATATCTCACTTAACAGTTTCACATTTCATCATACAACATGATGGGGGGGGAAGACATTTTATACATCTGCCAGGAGATTTGTTTTTTTTAAATGATCTGTAGCTACATTTCAAGGAACATACAAGTTTGGTCTGGCATAGGCCAAACTAATATTGATATACATGTACTTAACTGAAGTAGATTAATGAGGAGCAGCACAGGCCCTTGCTACGGTGCTACTGCTGTCACTGCAGGGCAGTAATCCAGTACAGTAATAGACCATCTCTCTCCCCACACACACACACACACACACACACACACACACACACACACTAATGGATCATTTTTCTTACTGTTTGTTAGTAACACAAGCAAACATTGCCCTTTGAAAGCTGTGTACAGCCAGGTCTGAATGAGGACAGGAAAGCACGGACACTGCAGCTTAACATCATCCTCCTTACAGAGAGGAAAAACAAGCAGCCGGTATGGGCGGTGTCATACAGCAGGACATTCAAAGTCTGATTACTGATCACATAACAACATGGTTCACATTTGGGTAAATGTTTAAACAGAGAAAACAGGTCAGGCAGTCATCAACTAATGTCCAAAGTAATTAGCTGTATGGCTAACATGCTACAATTGTATGGTAACTCCACTATGGAAGAAATGCCACTGACCTTTTCCTTTTATACAAATCCTAGAAATCTAAACAGGCATTTACATTTCAAGTTAGCCATTTATCTTTAATTAGGCTATTTAACAGAAATCAAATTCTGACATAAGATTTTTGTATATATAGAAAGAGAGCAATAGATACATAGATATTAGATTAAATTTTGTCCATGTACAAGGCAATGAAATGCAGTTTAACATCTAAGCAAACATAACAAAAAAAAAAAAACCTTAAAAATACAATGATATATGAATATCAATATATGAAACATAACTGATCAAAACCAGAGGTAAAACAAACAAAACTGTTTCTGAATGATGTAGGCTAACTCGAACCCAAACATGTCCTCCGGAGTACTCAGGCTACGTGAATACATTATTCATTTTACTGCAGGGGCCCCATCAATGCATAACAATGAGCTCTGCTAATGAAATCAACCATCAAGCTGAAATACATACATATTAAACTGGGGTCTCAATGTCATTTGCTTTTTGCATCATCTGTTTCTTCTTTGTTTTCCCCAGGTTCATCCAATATTTGTATTAGGACTTCAATTTGTTTACAGTCACAAATAATGACTGAATATTACAGTTTTTATGTGTCTGTGTTATCTGTGTAATGAGAAGAACCATTAGTAAATAATTTGCATAAAACATCTTCACTTTAGCAAATTATTTACTTTGAGTCAACAATATTAATGAAAACCACTTGCAACACTGATGCCATGTGATATAGTTATATAGCTGAGGAGTCTCTTCTATTAACAAAGCTATTAAAAAAAACTGATGAACTCAGTCAAACCAATTACAAGAGTACAAAAATTTGATTGTTCACCATGTACAATTTGCTTTCTCATTATGTACCAACAGCAAACACTAACTCTGTGATAGTTTTTGTAGAGAAAGACTGCATGCACTGACATTTAAATCCTTTCCCACTAGCTTAGTAAACAGTGAAAGTGAGATAAGTGATCATGCGCTGGGGTATCTCTGTGAGCGGCAGAAGGTCACCGCCTGCCAGCAGAGCTGATAGGGAAAATGGCATTGATGCTCCCGAGCTGCCATTTTTCTTCCCTGACAAAGACTCCCATCTGCCACCAAGCCATTTGCAGCCTCCGAGTGAGAATATCAATGATTTCCAACCATTCTACAACTCAGCTTTCACCTTGGTGTCACCTTTAAAACCGTCTGAGCGCTGACACCACAAATCCTCTCTGTACAGGCCCTGCAAGCTGTTAACAAAGCCCTGATCCAGCTATGCTACTCAACAATGGTCTTAGCACCGATACTATTTATGTTTTAAGATCCATGATCATGCCAACACAAGGTTTCAGAATTTCTCATTCACTTAAAATTAGTAAAGAATCCAAGCCAAAAAATTACAAGGTTGGCATAAATTGCTGCTTTGGATATTTAACAAACTGCAGGATCTTTATTTTCTGATGCACAATGTTGCTGTGTACTGATAAAGTCAAGGCACAAAACCCAGTTGTCCAATAGGATTTCTTGCAAATAGTAAAAAGGAACAGCAGCAGGGAGCTGGCCATGGCCAGTTTTCCTCAGTGCCATCTACACACCTCAGCAGCACTGTTACAAGCCTACAGTCCAGCAACAAGATCCCCAGTAGACTGTGGCAGTGTTGTCCCAAAACCCAGGCCTGACCTATCACACCAGAGGATGAGCACACATAATGAACTAACTAGCCTCTGTGACTGCAGCTGACTGGAACTCAGATCTCTGCTATACCATCTCTACCCAAGTGGTTTTATCCCTGAGCAGACAAAGGTTGCCCACATCAGTCTATACACACTGTACTCCTAACCAGGCCATACATTTCATAGTTTGAAGGGCAAGGCCATTTGGCCTCCGATTTCATACATTTTCATAGGGCACAAAGGCCACTTGACTGGGTACTATGGCCTAGATAAATGATATGTATGTGTACGTAGCTAATGTACACAGCCTGAGCAGTAACGTTAAAAACTAGAGTTTGGTGTTCACAACATACATGTAATGTTTAAATTAAAGTGCAGATGCTTGTAGAATGATTAGAGGGCAATATGCAGAGACAGTATAGTAACTGTGCACCTTTATTATGATTTGGATAGTAAGTGGTGATATTTGTGCACATTTAGATTTAAAGGCCAGCTAAGCTCTTGTTGCTCTCTGCTGATGTTGCCTAGGATCATGGGTCGGAATAATCATAGCTGTATTAAGGAGAAAACAGAGGAAAGGACATCTAATTTCTCTTAATTACTCTGCCTGGTGGTGTAATTATATTCTTCTTGCATCATGATGACAGAATGACCAGCATCACTTCTAGCACTGTTAAAACTAAAAATAAATGCATAATGGCTGCCTGTTAAGGTTTCCACTTGGCTGACAATATTGACCATATTAGTGCTTAATATATGCAATATTTCAAATATCAGAGAAAACACGGTACAATTTAATACTACATGTAACGTTTTATGGCCTCTATGTTCTCTTACAGCTTATAGACGGAGCCAAATATTACATCCTTCAATCTGCTTATCCAGTAAAACTAAAGGAAACCTTATTGTAGCACCACTAGCTTGATTGCTGCATAGACGCAGCAAGCATAAGTTACAGAGGTTCACCATCAACTTGTAAAAATGTTGATATTACCAAGCAGTGTTAAAGAGTGAATAGCATTATGCCAACTCATCATGAACCACTGAGGTTTTGAGAGGACCGCTCCTGGGTGAACAGTTTTATTAAGCACCGTTCTCCTTCATACATCCATAAAACACACACCTACGTGAGTGACTGAACATGAACGATCATTTGCAGAGATCAGTCCTCAGATTTGACAGACTTGAGAAGATCTGACAGAGTTAAGAACAACGTCACAACCGATGAGGACACATCGACCACTGTGGCCATGCAACTCCGACAGATATACAGGGCATCACAGCCATGGCCATCGTGAAATTTATACCCTGATCCTAACCTAGAGTATGTTACACCCTCCCAGCTAACATGACCTGAAGAGCCCGACAGCAGCCCAACAGTACTAGAAAGACAGTAATGTCTGAGCATCAGCCGATGAAGAAGTCACAATAAACATGCCATTTAAACATGCTCTGTATTCACTGAACTTTTAAGAACACTCAGAGTCAATGCACTACACATACTAACATGCCTCATTGTTGCATCATTCACATGAGCCTTTGATTTACTACTGACAGATCTTTCATCCCTACACTTTATTTAATCCCCCTCCTGACAGAAAAGGTAAGAGTAGCCTTTGATATTTGTTAACATGCCACCTCAATCTGTCCACTCTTCTGGCAAAGTCACAAAATACATTAAATAATATACATTACAACAAAAGAATAATTTCTTGTTTTTTTTTTTTATATTTCTTATTTCACTTGCAACACTATTAAGTTCATTTTGTTTTTGTCTGCTCTGAAACCATCGATTTATGCAAGATCCAAGTGCAAGTCCTTTCCTATATTTACTGCTTGATGATAAATACCTCTCGTCAATTCACACTGACTCTACATGTGCAACAGAGAAGCTGAAAAATTAACTTTGCTTTCAAGACTGCAAATTAACTCTCTTAATTTGGCAGCAAGTATTGAAGTTAGAGGAAAAGCCACATGTCACACTTTGAGAATAGAGCTCAGGCTGAAGGGGAACTGAATTTGATATACCCACTCCCCCTGTCTTGGGATAACGATTTAATTTGCAATAGCAGCCAAGAAACATCTGTATAAAGCTACTATATGTGGAGTAGCCCAAATTAAATTTTAAAACAAAGCCAAACAATAGCTCCAACCACACCAATTACCCTTGTCTGACTCTCAGTAATTTATCCTAAAATAGCCCTTAGTCAAAAAAGTTCTCTTCATTCCCCAAGAGATTAAAATATGTTCTGAAGCCTTGACACACTAATTCTAGGAAAGACAGGAATTAATTAGATACACACAAAATGAGAGCAAAGAGTAATGCAGCACAAACTAATTTCATAAAGGACAACTTTGCTCAATCTTAACTTAACTGGAAAATTATAATCCTATACCTAAATACTTTAAAATGAGGTGTACCGATTAGTCCAGCACTTCAATTCATCAGATACCTTTTCCAATTTAACAAAACAAACTGGTTTGCTGGTTTTTCCTACACAAAATCAAAAGAAGCACTTTAAAGAAATGAACAAAAAGTAAATTGCAGTACTTACTGTACTTGTCCTATGAGACGATCCTCAGATGTGTGTCATCACTGTTCTCTCTGCACCTGAAACACGAGACAATGCTAGTCAGACTTGCTGCTTGATTTTATTGATTTACCGCCTCAGCATTGCTCCTATCTGAATGCTCCACAAAAATGAAATAAAAATGGTAATATGGGCCACAGGGAAGATGAGTTACCCATTCTAAACATCAGCAGAAAATCAAACTCCCGCTGATGTGACACGACACAGGGCAACAGGACGCGACAAAACCACTTGGAGAAACCAGATTGCAGTCTATTGTGTAACAAGAATGCTTATGTAACTACACAGCCAACATTTTGATTTTCCAGAAATCCCTTGGCATTAAGAAACTGCACCCAACAAATGCCTGATCTGAGTAGAGACTGAAGCCTTTTTCTTTTTCTCACTCGCATATTAAAAGATAAATTCTAGCCCTCTACTGGTGTTCTGTTAGTTAATGACGCAGTTTGACCCCAATATTTATCTTCTGACAAAGCAACAGAGCTTTTATATGTATATATATATA